TCCCCCGGCCCCACACGAGGCTGGCTGGGCCAGCCTGGCCTGGCCAGGGGTGAGAGGAAGGCCGGAGGGCTGAGCTGTGCTGCTGGAGGCGGGAAGGTGGCCGCGGGGAGCCGGCAGCAGCCGGTGGATGCTCGGTGCAAGAGCTGCACGTGCCGAGGTCCCTGCAGATGGCCAGGACGTTCCCTCTCGCTTCTCTCCACTTCGTCTGGGTGCAATCTGGAAGATGTGATTAATTTTACTTGCTGTATGAGAGGCCAGAAAGGCCCATGCTGTCCCCACCAGCCGTAGGGCTGTGCAGGGTGGGGGGAGCAAGCTGGACATCCTTAACAGATTCCTAACTTTGAGTCCTAAGGAGACAAAATCCTAGGAACAGAAGACTTAGAGCATCTACTGAAAAGCAACTTGTCTGCCTGAGCTGGTGGAAACATTCAGCTCGTCCTCTGCTGCAGAGAGCGCAGGTTGTCTGCTCCATGAACGCCGCAGTGCTGGGGGTTGCATCCCCCCGCAAGGCAGCTGCTCTCGTTTGTTAGTGTCCTGGGAGAACATTACTCATATGCTGCTGGCAGTGGGCTTACTGCAGCCAGCGGTTTCTTTTCCATCCCTGGGCCCTGTCCCTCCCTCCCCCCTTCTTACTGGGTCTGTGAATACTCCTGTACCTAATAGGCAGAAATCTCTTCACACAGCAGGAAAAAAATCCGATGGCATTTGCATACATTAGGAGGGAGCAGCACATTTCAGTCATTTTCTGTTTGAGCGGCGTGGCAATCACGCTGATGCGAGATATAAATGCCTGCCGAACGGGGCGGTAAGACGCTTGCTTCAATCTCACGGCAAACTGCAGATTCAATAATCAGATCTGACTTGGTTAGCTAAAGAAATCGTGCTCTCTCGCTGTGATTTTCCTCTGCTAGGAGAGAGAAACGCAGAGGGAATGAGCACAATTCATCAGGACTCCTACACCAGTGACAAGATTAGCAAAGCCCTTCTTGCACCGGGGACTTTAGCAGGCGGGCAGCGGCGGGCAGGGCGCGAGGTGCCGCAGCAAGAACCACAGCTCCTGCCTTTGCTACATCCGTGGCTGAACAAGAGATACGCCAACCCCCTGACCCGCTGGGGACCTTTCGGGGCAATACAGCTCTTTACGCCTTGAGATAGCTGAGCCCTTCAGGCTGGGGGTAAAATTGCCGTGACCACCAAGAGACTTAAGGTCTTAAAGGTCAGATTTTTAAAGGCATTTAGGCACTTAAATCAGAACCTTAAAAATCATGTGAGAGAGACTACTGGGTCCCACTCTGTATCTCACTCGTTTGGGTGACAGATGATAGTATTTGTGAGAACATCTATCTGCTGCTCACTCCTGCAAACTTGACCTTACTAAAAGGCAGCAGGACTCGAGGCTGCTTGGACCCTAGAGCAGCTGTGTACCTGTAACGTCATAGGTGTCCTGCACCCAGGTTTTGCCACAAGTTTCCTCATTCCCCAGGCATATTAGCGCAACACCAGGCTCTGCATATCTGAAAAGCCACATGCACAGTCCATACTTACTGCCTACATGGGGTATCTGCAGGCTTCATGGCATGTACAGCAAACTATGCTTCTACTTCTTCCTGGAAAATTCCAGAGAGAGATATGGCAACTCTAGCTACTGCTTTTGATGTTAAAAACAAACAAAAAAAACCCACCAAAAAACAACAGAAAAGTATGATCAGATAAAATGCTAATGAGGAAAGCTGCGTGATTTCTTTTAAGCACTGTCCTATGCAAGTGACCTTTTTTGGTGGGATATGAAAACATGTATTCTGTACACGCTCTGCTACTTTGTTCTCCACCTCCTTTAAGTATTTCAAGACACATAAGGCCTGTGCAACTGTCTTCCACAAGCCGAATTGAATACAGGCAAACCTTTAGGAAATATTCCAATGCCTTCCTCCATGAATTAAATTTACTGTTTCAGTCATGGTATTTGTCATAGATTTTATGCAGAAGAGTATTTATGCTGGGCAGTAGTATGAAGTAGGCAGATTAATGATCAGTTTTCATTGAGTACTGAGGGATAAGTATCCTCCAGGTTCATTGTAAAACCCAAGTGACAGCAATTCTTGATAAGTATTTAACATAAATCTCATATTAGTTCAATGCTTATTAAAATAATCTGTACTTTATTTCTCACTGTTTATTGTTTAATTCAATTTTTGTCTTTTGCATTTTTGGCCATGAAAAACACCAGACCTATTCATAAATTCCCCAAACTTTCTCCTATCACAGTTAAATTTTCCAGGGTTGGCCTGTCTCCAGGAGCAAACATGGCTCTTTTCAGTCTGAGAAACAGAGAAAGTTAAAAGAAATTCTGTTGTACTCTTAAAAAAAAGTCTCATGGTGCCTCAAAAAAAGCAACTTTACAACCAAAATATTCCCGGATCAAAGTAAATTTTTACTTGAAACAGTCCTCATTAAAGATAAGTTTTGCTACTATTACGGTAAGAAATAGGTTTGATTTGTTCAACTCATGGCCCTGTGGATAATTTCATACTTCAATGTTTCACTGAAGAGCTCTCCCAAAGCTCAGTAGAAGATGGGTGCCAAAACCTAGCAATGTCTCTGACAGACAAGCTCTTGCCAACATTGCTGTAATAGTTTAAAATGTTTTTGCCTTCTCCCCAATCTTCTCTGCTTGCTTCTCTGCTGTCTCTTCCAGAAGATGTTGTCTCCTGTAGCAGACTTGGCCAAGGACAGCATAAGTGGGGTGGCTGAGACAGGTTTCTTAAAATGCTGATGAGGATGAGTTTGAGCTAAGACACCAAACTGATTTGGCGAGATTTCAACACAGGCACTTGTCCAGCTCTGCTTGAGGGCTCTAACCTTCAGCAGAGGAGCACTAGCACACAGCTGGGAGAAGGCAACATCAAAACCATTTGCAGCTTTTTGCTCCGTGAATGTAAGTTAGAACTGTGAATCCTTGATCCTGCAAATACTTGTGTATATATTTAACTTTATTACTGTGAGTAGTTCCAGAAACTTCAGTGGGGCTTGAAGTTACATTGGCACGTAAATACTTGCAGAATGGGGAGCCTGCACTTGTACTGAGTCTATCTAAGAAAGCTTCGACTCACACGTATGTCTGAGCAGTTCACCTCCGCACTGAAACTGCACTCCAGAATCTCAGAGTTACAGAGAGTACTTGCACTCACTTTTCTTTTCAGAAAGTGTACTAAAGGCAGCCTTGCTCTGGCTTACTGGAATAAAATAAAATCCTCCAGGGTGGTTTAGGCCTCCTTCCCTTCCCAGATTTGTACTGAGATTAAGAGCAGCCTCCTCCGTGACTGTCTGTCTTTCAGATTAGACAGAGACCATTCCTCGGGTCTATGGGCGGCAGAAGAACAGACCGGATAAGCATGCTGCCTTGCATTTCCCCTCCTCGCACAGCATCCCTGGCAAAGAACGTAGCTTGAGGCTGTGTTATTCTCTCTCCAGAGCTGACACCCAAGTGTGACTTACACCAGCGAATATCCCAGCATTGTTACACCAGCAGCCCTAGAAACAGCTGCTGACGAGGGCTCTCCCTGGCAGGGCGATGCTAACAGGTCCTCAGGCCAGCAAGCCGAAGGGCTGGCCAAGTGCAGAGCTGGTGCAGGGAGCCCCAGGACCCTGGGCAGGCTCTGGGCTCACTACCTCACCGAGGGACCCGGAGGGGAACGTTTCTGGAATATGTAGCTGTTATATTTCCAGCTATTTTAGCTTCTTACTCACCAGTCTGATATCCTGCATTGAATCTACGGGTAGCTATGCTGCTGAGGAACAAGCAAGTTGCTAAAATGCTTCTCTTCAGGGTTTCAAGGCCAACAGTTTCAGGCTTGGGTGCTTAAAATGAAGCATCTATTAAAAGTAGCCTAATTTTTTCAGAGGAGCTGAGCGCTCTTAGCAGACTCACTGTCAATTAAGCTTTTTTCCTCGAGGTATTTAACAACCACAGGTATGGTAGATAAAGGCTAGTTTATCCCCAACTGTTGTTCCCAGCTGTGAAAGGAACAAAACGTGCCTGTAACCCATCTCCTCCACAGGAGGAGCACCCGCCAGGTGTCAAAGCTCTGCTCTCTCTGCAGAACACACAATGTTTTTAATGGTGCCAGAGCCTTTGTTTTTACTTTGTTAAGGTGGCCAGTGAGTAAAGCAGTGTGCAGAGATACTGTCTCACTGGCCGGACCGGGCTGAAGGTTGCAAGGTCTGGAAATTTCATACCAGACAAATCCTACTTAAGTTTTCTAAAGATTAAAAAAACAAGCTGTGGCTGTAGCCATCAAATGCTTCATTAAGACAGCATCAAAGCACCCTATTTTAAACGCTCAGAAGTCAAGAAAAGTTACAGAGCAATCTGTGTTCACAATATTGCCGTTGTCTGGTATAAATATACTGTGAAACAACCGTCAGCAGCATTGTCACAAGCTATTTCTCGGCTATTACAATACAAACGAGAAATCACATTTTTTGTTCTGCCCCCTTAAACAGCACCATTGTAGAGACGTACTCTAACGAAAACTGCCGCCTCCTCCAAGCCCCTCCAGAAAAGCAGGGTACTTCTGTTCCAGTCCTTGCTTAATCTGCAGCTCTAGAAGACACAGAGCGAGATTTAGTGCATCCCGCCAAAACGCTCTCTCGACCCCGGCAGCCCCCCGGCAAACCGGGAGCGCCCCGGCGTTGTGGGTCCGACCACAAACTTCCCCTCGCAGCAATGAGCGTGCTGCTTCGGGACAGACTTCCAGCTTCGCTCTTCAAAGCTGTTTCATAAATATTCTATGGCCTTTCAGCCGGGGTAATGTGCCTCGGTGACATTAAAGAGGAAACTCTGTGAAGGGGAGGGATGACAACAAATTTATCCACCAATAGCACACTCTTTTGGCACAAAAGCACATTCTTATCTTTACATCCCATAATGAGAAGGCAGAGCCAGGACTGTTGCTACAGCTCTCTGGGTGGGTAGATGTACAGTAAAACCGAAGGGCAGCTGTAAATTGTGAGATAGTTTTTTCGCCCCTGCCTCGGCGAGCAGAAGAGCCTGCGTTGGCCGTGGTTCCCCGCAGCCCCCGGCGGGAGACCTCCGCGCACGATGTCGGACTGCGAGGGACTGCCTGTGGGTAAGAGCCAGATTTATATTTACCGCAGCGTCCCGCCGGCTAGTTCACGTTCTCAGATTGCAAAGTCACCCGCGAGCCCGCTTGCTTCTGACGGCAGCCGGCGCGGCGGCGGCGGTGGCAGCGGCGGGGGGAGAAGCTCCCCGCGACCACCAGAAACCCCCCGTGCTCTGGGTCACGCAGCGGTTGGGCAAAGGGCAGCATTGGCCCGTCGTCTCGAGGGTCCAAGCAGCAGTTTCTGGAGGACCAGGCGCGCTGCGTGTGCACCGCGTTGACGCGCTGATAAACCGTCCGCGCGGCAATGGGCGCAGCAAGGGCGGATAAGCGTAATGCGAATGCGTTATGTGCTGGAAGAGAACACAGACGTACCTGTTTCAAATAACTGCCTTACGTGTTTCGTCTGGATTTGGAAAGGAGTCTTTTACTAGCGCTTCTGGCTGCATATGTCAAACTTCACTGTACAAGAGCGCAAGCCAGAAGAGGCATGTTTCTCAGCTGGGTTTTTTTTTTTTTTGTATTTCTACCCGTACTGTAAACATTCACTAGACCGCTTGCATGAAAGGAAATTCTTGTGGAAACGCTACAGTAATTCTCTGCCAAGGCGTTCGACTAATGAAGACACGGACCATCGAAAACATCTGTCTTTTTTCTTTTGCCATGGCAAGCACACATCTTTTCATATATGTATATATACATATGCACACACACACATATATGTAAATATAGTAATACTTGTGTTTTACTGGCCTCTGAAGGCCATGCGCAGAGATGAGGCTCTTGACTAAAATGTGGGACTAGTAAAGAAGGCTGCCGCAGTCGTTTTTATTTCTCTCTCTCTCTGCTTCCATTTTCCAAAAACAAACCAAGCACAAAATGTGCACTCAGAAGCAGAGTGAAAAAATATAAATTATATATGCCATGCAGAGCGAACTGCACCATGCACAATTCTCTGCGCTGTCAAACAGTTGCTGTGAGTGCCTGAAGACAGGAGAGAGATGACTGTTTCTTGCTTACCTTATCGAAGGGCTGATCTGTTACAGCGTAACTTCTCTTCTTCAGCAAAGCTGGCTTTGATTTCAAGGGCCTGACCCATGTTTGCTTGTGAAGCACTCTGAGCTGAGGGTAGGATATTTCAGGATGACAGTGACAGTATTTAGCTGGCATCTGATATTACTGATGAAACTGATATTGAGCATACATAGCAGGTTGTGTGCAAAAGTTGCTTATATCTCAATTACCTTTGCTGCTGAAAGGGCCCGGGAGGTTTCCTTCGGAAAATTGTTCGTAGATGTGTAATTCGAGGGAAGGAAGAAGTTTGTTATGAGAAGGAATGGAAGGTAAAGACGAGCCGAGCTGCGGGTGTTTAGATGTGGACGCAGCTCGGAAATGTTCCAGCACATGCCGAGGAAAGGTTCGTTTCTCCTCGTTCCTCTCGTCTTCCTCCCAGGTTCGTGTCTGCCTGTTCCCCTCCTCTTCCTCCCACTCCGCAGGCCCCTTCCCGGCCCCGGGCCGGCAGCATTTCTAGCACTCACGCTCTCTTTTATACCTTGCGACATGGCTGATACCAGGCAGAAACAACCAACCGGAGCCAAACCTTCACACTCTGCAAAGACCTTGCATAATTTCCTGGTTCGTTTGGCTACACACAAAAACAACACTAGAGGTACAAGTGACGGCACTGGTTACTAAACAATTGTAGTGAACCAGGTGCTGACAACTTGCTTTTCATATCAGGGTGTTTTGAAATCAAATAGATCCCTTTGCTGTTACTTCTCTTTTACAAGCTATTTCAGAACATAACAACTTCAGCAATAAATAATCCGTTAAAAGGCTTGCAAAAAAATCAGCACAAAACTTTCTAAAATAATAATCGAAGTTCACTACTGCAGAAATACCATTTTACTGAACCCAATGAGCCTAGTTAGGCTGAGGCTGATGTTGGCCTTGTACTTCTTCAATCCTTATTTTTGGCCAGACAGTATAACTACAAAGAGTTTGTTATAGAGACATGTATCACGAACACTGTAGTGTAGATTGTAGCCAGTATCAAGAGCCCTGTCTACAATATAAACTATAGAGAAATATGCATATGTGTGCGTATGCACACGCACACGACTATAAATAAGTTTAGCCAAACCACAATGTTGTTGTCAAGTGTATGTATTACTTCACCAACCTTTTTGCAAAGGGTATGGCTAATGAACAACCTTGAAGTTTGTAGTTACAGTAAATTAACGCCAGGATTTTTACACTGCTTTCAGCCTACACAAGAATGCAGTAAGAACAGCTGCATAATTGTTCTCTCAGAGAAGCAACGCAGAGGGAACTGATGAATACGATCTTTGAATTAAATCGCTGGACACGAATGGGTCAATATACCGATCATTTTTCAACAAGAAGATTTATTCAGTAAGAATATTTCACTTCTACATCTGGAGCAGCCATGTACTTTTTCAGGATGAAAGCTCTGGGTTTTTAAATCTCTGTTTTATGTTAGATTCCAGTGTGGCTGCACTGTTTTGCTGATTTGGAAGGGAAAATTAAACATGTGATGCAAACAAAGTTTTGTTTTGCTTTTCGAATGTAGTACAGAAGACATAAAAATGGATGTCAGAGTGCAGATTAAATATAAGCAAGCGTAGAGCCATTTTGGACTGAGTTCCTACCAAAATAGGCACTGGCAAGTGTTGATGTCAAACTGATCAGTTAGTGAACAGAATTCCAGAATTAACACTAATCATTTCTCATTGTAACACAGGTATATAAAGAAGAAAGAAAGATCAGTCACTTCAGGACAGCACACTCCTATTTCTTTCTCATTAGCAGGTATTGACATAGTGATGCTGTCCATTAGTGCTAGGTACATAAATTTCCTGTCATTCCTACATGCAGATAAAAGAAAGGCACATCAATTATTTAAGTGCTTCCTCTTGTGTGTATTATTTTTCTTTTGTAGGGAGGCATAGTTCAGCCTCTGTACAACTGAATGCTTTTTCACGCACCCAGCATTTTGATTAGGAATATATGAGTCATGATGGTTCTGGTCCTTAACACAGTCCTCCCCACTTCAGAAAAACCTGTGAAGTCAAGCAAAGGTTCTTAAAGTGCCCGTCTGCTTTTTTTCCCCTCAAAGACTGTGTCAGATATAGGGTGATTCTGAAGGACATGGCCTGAAGTTTTGTGGGCAACACCACTCTGTTGCAATAATCCAAGGCATTTAGCTGTGATAGATGAGGATTATAATGCTGAAGAGGGAGTAGCTATTCAGATTTTGGGAATCCCATGTGTACTTACTTTCTCTGTTTTTTATAAAACAGTGCTAAAAAGGGAAGAAACAGCATTGATTCAGCTTGTTCTGCAGCAAGTGGCATGCAAATCTAATCGGTTTCGTTAAAATTCCTCCCAAACTTTTATTGGCATCCTTTCAACAGAGGAAGAAATAAGATCTTTCGTCTGAAATATATTCTTGAATCCTTAGCTAAATATTTCCTTTCAAAGTTAAAATTGCACATTTCAAACACGTCTTTAGGAGAGACTGTAGCCAATTTGCTAAAATAGATGTTTTCAGAGTCAGGATATCCCAGAAACCTACAATAATTTTGGTTTCTTGAGATTCACTGAGTATTCTGCAGTGTCATGGGGAGTGCATTTAGCTCAGCAGTAAGTCCTGGATTAGCCAAAGCTGCTGCTGGTGAGTGAGAAATGAGTTGATTTGAGCCCATTCTCCCACCACACTGTGCTGTCACTGTGTGACCATCGGGAGTAAGAAAAAGGGACAAATATACTTTTGTTACACAAAATTATTAGAAATGATTCAGTCTACGCATGGGGAGTAGGTCTGTCAAATAAAATTGCCCCACTTTTGCATAGTCCTATCAGTATGGAAATATGCTGTAAATTAATATTTCATTCAACGGGGTGAAAAATATCTAGCCCACTGGCATTCCTTGGGCCAGAGTATCAGTTTTGCCCTGCTGTCTATACCTTAGAAAAAGGCTGTAGACCCAAACACTAATATACTCGCATGGCTGGTCCCACTGAATACAGCTGTTTGCAAGATCAGATCCTGAGCAAATGGCAACACACTGAAATTACGTGGCGGAATTAACGTGCAGGCTACATTCAGTACTCTTAAGTTTCTGGGGTAAACATGAGATGGGCAAGTTTTTCTCGCCCTACCAACCCAGCTGCTCACTGCAGCCCTGCGTTAACAATGTACTGTAGGTCCCGATCCCACCAAAGCTGCCAGGCACGTTGGGAGGATTGCCTTGCCTGTGCGGGGCTCCTCAGCAGAGTCCCCAGGGCAGGACTGGAGAAGGCCAGGGTGCCCGGGCTCGCACACCTTTGGACCTCTCCAGCAAAGCCCTGTGCCGCGAGGCAAGAGCAATCATGCAGTCAGTATGCTAAGAAACAGCAAAATATATAAAACTTCCAGCTTTGGGGAAGAACAGTCTGAAGATGAAATTAAGAGTAATTATAAATGACTACAGGTATACCATAGTCACAGAAAATCTGCAGCCATGCTGAAGGCACAGGGGTTAGATGCCACTACTGATTTCTTGAAGTCTCTCGAATGGTTTCATCTGAAAGTCTACAAGCCCAGCCCTGCTCTTGTCTACCTTGCTGCATGTCATGGCGCAGTCATTTGAAGATGCTCTGCAGTTGAGACAAACACCTTAAAGAGGGAAGGTAAAAATGATCAATGGGCAGTGTAAATCCTCAAGGAAGAAGCACTTCCCAGCCAACCCCTTTCAGAGGGTTCTGCTCTCGCTCCAGCCACTGGTCAGTTCGTACCCACTGGCTAAGACGTAGTCCCTCTATGCGGGACTTTCTGTAGCAGCAGTATCCATGAGGCAGTTTTGTTTGGCTTGGTTGAAATCCAGAGCCCACCTTCAGCAAACCGGCTCCCTCCTGCTCTCCCTTCTCTTCCCAAGAGCCCTTTCACGTGCTCACCTCGGTGGCTGCCCATGGGAAGCCCCTGCCAAGGGGAGCAAAGAGGGAGG